AGGATGTGAAACATCCAGGGGATGTCGCTTCCCGAGTGTACACCCAACTCTTAGCACGACCGCTAAGGTTGGAGAGTGCAAAAGCAACACGCAGTTGCTCGGTCGAGATCAGAGCCGCGTCCATCGCGAGCTCTACTTCTCGGACCCAGAAGTGAAGGTTCTCGCCTTCCTTCCCTTCATACGGCTTTACCTTCAGCCGTATTGGCTTCGGGTGAGGCGGGTTTGCTCCCGCCGCCGGAGCCTGCAGGTTCTCCCGCACATGCGCGATGAGGCCCTGCTCGTACGCGTCGAATGCATTGACGCGCTCGAGCTGCTCAGCCGGTGTTGATACCACCAGGCTCTGCAGGGCCTCCATCCCGAAGATGCCTGCCATCTTCCGAACCGACTCGAACTGAGAGTCGTTCATATGGGAGAAGTCGTTCCTATCCATGGCAACGAACTTCGGAGGTTCAGGTAGTCTACCCGCGATGGCGTGGATTGACTACAAGTGCTACCAAGTGTGACGGGGTCACACAGCACCTTGCGCTAGAGGAAGTTATCTTCCGAGAGTATACAAACTCTCAGTGAACGGCAGTTCACAGGTCCCCTCTTTAATTAAAGAGAGCGAAGTGACCTAAATAAGGTAGATTGTAAACTGAGTATATTTATAGGTAGGTTAAGTTTGTGGTTAATACAAACTATCAGTTACCTATAGTAATGCAATGTCATTTAACCAATGGTTGGTTTTGAATGACCTTGGTACCTTGTACCAAATATCCCGGAGTATGACATGTCATACTCCTGAAGTGTGAAGTGTCACACTTCATGTAACCAGGGTACACTTAGTGCTACGTACCCCGTTACAGCGACAGTGTAAAGCAAAGTGGAACGTCCCGTAATTAATTTTTTTTAATTTTTGAATTTATTTTTTTAGAAAAAGCCTGTCATGCAAAGTTGATTTAGTGTAGTGCAAAACTTTACGTGCCGTACTCCATAGGTTCGCTACGAATAGCTGCCGCCACTGACAACGCACAGTGGCGCGCCATCTTGTTAACCAAGCGCAGATCCATACATGGCAAGCTATGCTCTGCAGCGTTTTCAAGCAGCTGCATCCGGCGCTCTGTTTTCTCTCCGTGTGGAGCAAGAAACATTACGTCATGACTTAAGGCAAGATAAGCCTTAATGCGTGCTTTTAATACACTAAAACACCCTGCCGCACAGTAAAATAGACACAAATGTTAGTACATGTGCACGCTATAATTGTCTGTAAAACGTACCCTCAATCGGGTTACACATGGGGGAGTATGGCGCCAACCGCAACAGCTCCAAGTCCTCCTGCTCAGTAATCAGATCCTCAGTCTGGCTATGAGCAGGAGCGTTGTCTAAGACAATGACAACCGTCTTGCCAGCGAAGTGGTCGCGGTACACGTCGTGGCGCTTGACCGCCTCGTACACCGCGTCCACAAACGCAGCATTGACCTCCATTTTAATGCTGCCTCTCTGTTTAGCGTAGTGCACCAGGCCCACCTCAGGTGACACGGCGCATTGCAGCTGCAGGTTCGCTCCTTTGGAGGGCGGGAGTTTGACAACAGCACGCTGGCCAATTAGAGCTCGGCCCTGTGTACGTTTGCAATACAAATTAAAATTTGTTTCATCGTAATACACAATGAAAGACCCCTTGCGCTCATGAGCCAGCAATGCTTCACCAAACTCCTTCCTCTTTTCGATATTCACATCGTTGTTACATGTTTCTGGCTCAACTCGAATCTATGCAATAAACACTAGCCATTAGTACAATACAAATAAAATATAAATTAAAATAGAGCTTATTACCTGTTTCACAGTATACAACTTGTCACACAATTTCTTACTTATTGTGGAGGTCCTGACACGAACTCCAAAGTCGAAGTGCAGCATCTCCTGCATCTGCACGAGCGTGTATTGGCAGTTATCCTCCAGGTATTCTACGAGGGCCTCCTCCATCTCCGGCGTGCACTTAGTGCATGTCGCCCGCGCGCCGCCTCTCTTCTTGATGTCCGGGGTTCCTCGCTCGACGATAGTCCGAGCCGTTGTAGCTGGAATTCCGTTGCAATCGGCTACTAAGGCCCAGTCCTGCCCAGCCTTGTGTGCGTCGAGAACGCGTGTCCGGGCCGCGAGGCCATGCTTTGGTTCTGTTGGCATGATGCCAGAAGAAGAGGTTTTGATGCCGACCACCAGTTAGCTCTGCACTAAATCGCCATTGCTCTTAAGTCAATTTTTGAAAATAAAAATTAAAAATTTCTTTGTCACTTAAGTTACTTCACACCGCTTTGCTTTACACTGTCGCCGATTTGGACTGGCAAAGGTGTAGTACCATAACAATTTAGAAACTCATAATTACAATAAAATAAACCGATATTGTACGTACGCGTTGAATCCACTCTTGCATCACAGCTTCGTTGCGAAACGCTTTCTTTTGAACAGTGTGTTCGCATGATGAGTGTCCAAAGGACGGATTCCAAACGTCCTGTGACACCGGGCCGCCTGGAATGCCCGCAAAAACTACGAGGGGGGGGCAATTTAACTCCCGTGGCTGATGCAGCTAGAAATACAGAACAGCGAAACCCATTCACCTCACTTCCTACAATACTCACAGTTAATAAAATATTAATAAAATATTAATAAGTTTGAATATTTTTAGTAATTGAAAAAATACCTTGTCTGACGTCCACAGTTGGAGTTCCAACGAAGTCGATTGTTGTCTTGCCATTCATGTCAATGTAAATTGCAGTTTGATCCATGTTGAACACAGAGCCGTATTTGGACGGGCCCGTGGCATATGAAAGAGCTCCACACTCTTCAATTGCGTACTGAATTGAGTGACTAAACTTTGAAGCAACAAGCTGAAACACAGAATAAGAAATAGAAGTAAAAAATAAACAGTATTACTAGCATTACCTCCATGTCGGATCTTATCTTGCGGCCTTTATGAGTAATGCGTCTGATAGAAAGCCTGTTACGTTTGAGAAAGCGGCGCAAAAACTCGATATTTGCACCGCGGGAGCGACTCGCAAAGAGCTCTCCATCAAACCTAGAATGCATTAGAAGCAGACATTGCATCGAAACACAGAGAGATCGATTTTTGCGCATTTCTGTAATCCACGACAGCAGTCTTAATCATACACTTTTAGAACAATTACTAGTATTCGGAATTTAATGCATAAATAATAATACATTTGCTCGAGATTCGGGTGTTTAACTTAGAGGTTTTGGCGGCTTGGTACTGAGGCGTAGTACTTGTTTGGTGCGGCACTGGCAAGGGCATTTTTTTGCCGCATCCACCGGTACATTGTCGCTCGGTGAACGCCTAGCTCAGCAGCCAAGGCGACGACTGAGCTGGCCTCTCTGAGGCGTAAAAGCCCTCGCAGCTTGGACTTGTTTTTGTTCTTCGGTCGCCGTGTCATTGGCACAATGGGGGCGGGTGTCATTTTGGCGCGAAAGTGAGATTGTTGGTGCGCAGTGAACACAAGTTTTTACGTGTGTAAGAAGTGCACACGCCTCTATGCAATTTATACTAGAATTGAACTTTTTACCAGTGTAGCATTGAATCCGTGTTTTACGGTACGTACTACTACTCGTAGTATAAAGTGCAAAAACGCGAGCTCATCTTTGCTATTTTGAAGCATGTTTTGCAACTTGTGTGAAAACCGCACCGTCAAATAATAAAAATCAACTGAGTTATGGGCACTCGTCGAGGTGGCCGTATAATTGTGCCCAGGAGTGTATTAGGGTATGCAACATTTGCGACGTAGTTGATGAGCACTTTGCGTCATTGGAGTGGTCAGACCATTCTCCTTCAGAGATAAGTGGATGAACAGGATAATGATATCTACCAGTGCTGCTGCCGGTGCTGTGGTCGACAAAGAAATATTCCTGGCAAACACCTTAGTCCTTAACAGTATCTTCTGAACAAACACCATTTGCAAAACCAAAATCTATATGGAAAGCTCCAGATTGTCTGCAGACCTCTAGGTATACACGAACAAAGCGCTTTTTTAAATGCTGGCTTGTCCCCACACAGTGCAAGAAATCTTAAGGCGTTCCGCCGAATAATCTAGGAAGCTCATTTATAGCGCACTATTACGGCTTCGTGGCTTGTAGTTCAGCGAAACTCAACACTTCACGGTTAAGTTTTCATGTGTCCGCGTACGATTAAATCGTATAAAAAACAAATTTTGTTGGTTTAGATCGCATTCATAAACGCCTGCTCCAGAGTAAGCAATTGGTGCCTTTTTTAGGGCGATCACTGTATCACTCTACTTTAAGCCACCGACTGACGTGACATGGCTACGTAATACATCTCCGCTGTTATCCTTTCGGCGAGGCATATTGCATTCTCTTGGGACATTGCAATTCGAGACGTTTGGATCATTGTTTGGATCCACCACATATCCCTACCGTATTCCTTATGTGATTGGCGACAGTCAAATTCTTGAGGTGGTCCAGCCTTTCTGCCAGCATAAAAGATACCTGCATAGAAAAACTATTTTACATGCTCAAAATTATATTGGTCGCCAAGCACATAAAGCGCGACGACACGAAATTTAAATCAATTTGATTGGCTGCTGGATTTGTCGCTAATGACCGAGCGTCGCCAATCACATAAGGAATACGGTATTTCTAATTTTGGGTACCTCGAGCTCCCTAAGCATAGTTATTCCCTATTATACCTGCCAATTGCACATGCTCATTGCACTCGAGGAAAACTGCAATGTAAACTTCAATGCCAAGATATCGATGCAAATTGATTTTTCCCTCACCTGCCAGAAACCAATCCACATAGAATTCATTTTCTCGGCTTCGGATTATCCATGCTCCGAATTTCCGCGTCCAACGGATACGGTGCATCTCCACCCCATTAGGCAAGCACTGCTGGCAATGGCCAATACAGCACTCTAAGCAGCGCTTTGAGCCTAGACGAGATGCCAACAAACAAGGAAAATACGCTATGATCGCTCCGCACTACAGTGACTAAATAAAAATTTCGACATAAACCCAATTAACATTGTTATGTGGAGCTAACGACTTTAATCTGTTGCTTGTATGCCAGGTCAGCTACGCTGCGCCAACGCCACCTCAGTTTGTCATCATATCACGAGCACCTTCCTGTACATGTACGTGAATTGTTTCCTTTCCTTTTTTCTTTGCTAGTCTCGGAATTTATTGCCGCCATTCCTTCACACGACACTCATCAGTGAAGGTGGCAGGGACTTACCGCTTCTGCCGGTAGTTTAGACGATGCCGACCTTGACTTGCATCGTGTGGCGGTCCACCTTGCTCCACTCCGAGTCCTTCATCGAGCGGTCAAAGGCAAACTTGACCTTGAGCTGTTTGCCCTTGGCGGCGTAGAAGTCCAGCTCGTCCGAGAACTCCACAGTCAGCTCACGGCCGTACCCTTTCTGCAGACGAGCACGCAGAGCCTGCACCACCTCCGTCTTCTGGGACACCTGAACCATCAGGTCGATCTCGCCCTTCACTCGGAAGATGAGATAGTTGTCTGGCTGCGTGCTCATGGCCACACTCGAGAGACGAGAGAGCTCAAACACGCGACGCTCCTTCGGCTGCTGGATCTTGTCGGCCTTCAGGTTGAACACGCGACTCTCGCTGATCATCAGCACGCGCGTCTGATGCGCCCAACGCTCGTTCACCTTCTCCACCGTGTCCAGGAACAAGAGCTTCTCCTTCTGTCCACGTCCACTGCCAGCCTTGGAGCCACGACCTTCAGTGTGGGCCTGGAGAATGGCAGCGTACGCAGGATACCGGTTGACGCCGATGTAGTCGCCCTGGTACGTGCGGTCCAGCGAGTCACGGCGACGCTTCTTCTTGCCCAAGTAGCGCTCGAACTCTGTACGCACACCGAGAAGAGCAACCTTGCACGCTTTCCACATGTCGTTCGCGAGCTGCTTGCGAGTGTTGAGGCCTCGGTAGCGCTTGCTGAAGACGATCTGGGCGTGCCTAAGCTTCAGGAACTCGCGACGCTGCGTCCGCGCCTGCACGAAGCTCTGCATGAACACGATCGAGTTGAGTTCCTCCTCCGCCTTGAGGTTCTTGACCAAGCGACTGTTGTTGACGTTCAGCAGCTTGGTCGAGACAGCCTCCCAGCTTCCGTAAATCTTGGCGACGTGCTCCTTGTCGCTGGCGCCGGGCACACGCTTCCGACGGTCCTGGCAGTTCCTCCACACCGCATCGTACGCCGACAAGAGCTGCTTGGAGGCCGTCTGGAACTCTTTGAGTGCGAGGCGGTTCATGTAGCGACGCCAGGCGTTCTCGATGATGTTGACGATCACCGGAATGCGCTCTTCACGCAGGATCTCCAAGGCAGACAAGGCCTGCGGATGACGTAGGAAGATCTTGTTGCGACCAAGAGAGAAGCACCCAAGCGTGTCCGAGTCCTCTTGGAACGGGATCAGCTCGTCCTTGTTGTTCGGGTCGCGCACTCCCAGTCCAGCAGTCGTGAGCAGGTCAACCGCAGCCTTGCGAGACGAGTGAGCGACTGGGGCGGGCCACGTCGACTCGGATAAAAAGCTGTAGCGCTTGATGAACGGCGCGTACGGCTGGCTGTAGCAGAACCCCTGACGACGCACACTCAGGTTCTGCACCAGTCCGAGGTAGCGCACCTGCTCCGCCACGAGCTCCTTGTTGACAGCCAGCGGCTGCTTCTTCTCATTAGGCTTGATACAGCGGATGTAGTGCGGGTTACAGCCGTCCAGCTTCTTCAACAAGTCCGCCACTTGTGTACGGAACTGCTGGGACGTCGACGGCGGGCGCTTGAGCTTCGTCTCCTTGGATCTCTTGTCCAGAAAGACCGCACGCACGAAGGCGTTAGACGACTGCTCCATCCCGTCCTGCAGGTCGTTGAAGAACGTGTCCACATTGGCGTCAAAGAACAGCGTCACGTCGTACTCGACCTTGCCGGCGTAGTGCACGATGCCGAAGTTGGGGCCACGCACACGCGACGCCATGTAGTGAGGATTCCTCGAGTGCTCGCTGTTGTACCGTTCAATGAGCTCCAAGTCCGATAGACGCGCAATAGCACACTGTTCGTCCAGCAGAGGGAAGATTCCGTGCTGCTTGGGGTCCTCGATGAGGTCGCACACGACCTGGTTGTTGAAGAACTTGATGTTCTGCCAGCTCAGCCCTTCGCGACGGTATCCTTCCTGCTCGCTCTCGAGCGTCTGGCTGATGAACAGCTGCTGCAGCTTCTCGTTCACGTAGTTGATGCACAGCTGCTCGAACGCGTTCACCTCGAAGATCTCGAAGCCGTAGATATCCAGAATGCCGATGCTGTTGTTGATGTCGCGCTTCTTGCACGTCACGTTCTTGTTGATACGCGCCACGATCCAGTCGAAGATCTTTTCGTACAGCGAGCGCATGATCGAGTCGCACACTTTCTTGGCCTGACGCGCGTCGAACAGAACTTTCTGGTCCTCTCGGTAGATGTTGACGATACGGAACGTCAGCAGCGCTTCCAGTTTGTCCTTGTCAATGCCCATGAGACCCGCAGCCTTGGCCAGAGCCTCGCGAGCGGCAGGGTCCTCAATCGCAGCACGCGGGTTGTGCGCCTCGTCCGTCGTCTGCTTGAACTGCACGTTGCCGAGCCACAGAATAGCCGAGAGCTGCTGGAAAATAGCGCGCTGCTCCTCGTCCGTGATCCCCACGGCTGTCATGTTTTCCCGGACGTTGCGGTAGTTCTCGGCGTCATCCACACCGTCGATCGTGGCGTCTTCATTGCCAAGAACATCGAACTCCTCGGCGCTTCCGGGCAATTGCCACGCTTCCCGGTCGGTTGCAGTAGCACCAGACATGAGCTGATAGAAGGCGTGAAAGTTGCGCTCTCCCTCGGCCTGACGGATCACGCGACTGCGCTCCAAAAGGTAGTTGTCAATGTATCCGCCAATGACTTGACCCACACGGTTCATCTGCAGCACAATGTACTTGCCGAAGCGACTGCTGTTGTTGTTGCGGATGGTCTGAGCGTTACCGAAGGCCTCAAGCACGGGGTTGCTGCCCCACAGCACGTCGGTCACGTGGCTCGTCATGTCGTCGGCCTCTTTACGCTGTGCGACGGACATGCGGCGATTCGCCATGACGGCACTCTTCGCTCTGGAGCGCGTGCTGATGGTAGTTAGATAGCGCATGACGTGCTTGGACGTCTCGGTCTTGCCACTACCAGACTCGCCGGTGATGAGCAGACTCTGGTCCAGACCGAAGCGCATGAGGCTCGAGTAGGCGTTCTCGGCCAGTGCGAACGGGTGGGGCTCACACACGTGCAGCTCCTTGCCCTGGAACTCATCAATCATGTTACGAGCGTAGATAGAGTCACCGTTGGGCTGGCGGAGCATCTTGTATGGGTTCATGGCGATGAGAACAGGCCCGAGGAACATGTAGACGTAGCCCTGGCGGTAGCGAGTGACCAGCTCATTCACCACGTGGTCCTCGTCCACGGCGTCCACCATTAACAGGTCCTTCATGGTTGCTTCGGGGTGCTTACACTCACTCTGCAGGCGCGCGCTCCCAAGCACTCTCTTTGCCGAATGACGTCGTTGTCCGTGGTCGATTTCTGACTCCCCCCTTTCGAAAGTACAGTATGGCACTACTTACCTGTAAAACTCAATACTTGGGCTGGGGAAATAATCGATAGATTTCCGATTACATTAAACATTACCCTGTAGAAAAAGATACTTGTTTCTAAACGACAGTTGAGGTGTCGAACTTGACACGGAAAGGCCTCGAGGCCTCCTGGAACAAAGCATGGTGCTGTTTCCACGGGTGCATTATGCCGCCATCCGTATCTCCGCTGCTGCGGTGACACATCGCGAACGTGATACATATACAGGGGGGGGGCTCCCAATGTTCTGCATGTAACCGCTTCGCCATGAGTGTCGCTCCACAACACCGCTATCTATTGTACTGACGACGTGAAAGGACAATGTCCTTAGGACATCAACGACAGCAGAGGCCCACATAAGCTGCCTTTTCTACAGTTGATGCGCCTTTCATGTATTGCAGACTGCAATTTGCAGTGGGGTCTCTTTAGGCACAGAATACGTACGTGTACAGTAGTACACGGTGTACTGTAGCTGCCGTTTGGTTGCAGAGTTCTAACGTGCCGGAGCAGCAACCGAACGACGCGTTTGCATTCGTCGCTCATTTTGACATGCGAGTCGATTGCTGAACTGCTCCAGAGTAAAGCGCGGGTTCTCTAAGAAGGATGTGCGTAAGGAGCCAACGTCGGCAACAGCAGTGCTGTTACAGCAAGCGCGCCCGCGGCGAATCCATTGTGTGATTGTGCCGGCAGCCAACGTTGAAGACTCTGAACATCTAGAATAGAAACGTTAGAAACGCAACTGTCGATCATCGCCTCAGATTTTCGAGTTTTGATACCAAGCAACAGCTTCATTTTACTTATCCAGCATACCTAGTTGAAGGCCACAAATGCTTACAGTGTAGATAAACTTATTCTTCTTTGTCGTCGCCAGTCTCGTCGATCTCCACCAGGAGGTCTCCACCGAGCATGTTGTCGCCAACATCGGCGTGGATCGACACGACCCGGCCGCTCACGGGGGCAGCCACAACAGTCTCCATCTTCATGGCACTCAGAACCAGCAGGGCGTCACCGGCCTTCACGTTCTCGCCCTGCTTCACACGCACATCGAGCACGACACCAGGCATCGGGGCGCCCACAGAGCCAGCCAGTCCCGTAGCCTTCGGCTTAGCTGTCGTGGACACACCAGCCGCCTCGTCCTTGACCTTAATCACACGTTGACGTCCATTAAGCTCGAAGATCACGTCGCGCATCCCGTCCTTCTTGCTCACTCCACCAACAGCAATGAGCTTGATGAAGACCGTCTTCCCGTGCTCCATCTCGACCTCAACCTCCGTGTCCACCTCGAGACCCGTGAGGAACGTACGAGTGTCCAGGAAGTGCATCGAGCCGAAGTCGTCCTTGAACTTCTGGAAGCCTGTAAACACGTCCGGGTAGATGGCGTGCGAGATGACATCCACGTCGCGGATCTTTTCAGCTCCATACTTCTCCTTGAGCTCCTTCTCGGCCGCTTCAAAGTCGTACGGCTCATCTCAGCACCGGGACGACCCTGGACATCCCCTGGTCATTAGCAGCACTTACCCTCAACACACGCGATCGC